TGGGGGGGGAATGGAGGGGGGTGTGTGTATCCCTGTGGGGAGCGGCGGCCGACAGTCACTGCTCCCTGCAGATAGATGATCTCACTTCTCGATCTATTGAGCCGATGCGAGACAGCTTCATTGTCACAGGTCGGCTCGAACTATGAGGCTGAGTGATTTTCACTCACCTCATAGTTCTCCTTTAAGTATATACAAGTTGACATCAAGCAATATGGTGCCCTAAGAACGAACATGTAGACAGCTGTAGGACAAGTACTATGAATGAAATTTAAAAAAAAAAGGTTTGTAAACTGAGCACATGCTAAAAATGTTAGCCATGGTCATCAGGTTGACCAACCAAAGGATAAGACAGTTGCAAAATAAGAACATTTCCAGCAACTATCTTACCGTGTATGGGTCAGAACGGTTTGCATCATGTAACTTTGGGGCACTTTTATGGGAAAATATTCACTTTTTTTAAATAGCTGTTCACTAAGGGATATTGCCCAACATGATCCAAATAGTGTATGTCAGGGGAACTGGGGATCTCAAGAGGATATGACTATTCAGACACAAAAATATGACCAGGACCATAGACACTTGTAAAAAGTTAAGCATTCAGGAGGTATTTTAGTAAGATAAAGGGACCACAGTTATGCAAGTTTCATGCCGACTAAGATTTTAATCCCAGACAAGTGCCTGTATTATGAATCAAGACCTAGTAAATCGCATTTAGTAAATAAGCTTAGCAAATGGCAACGTATATAAAGCAGCAAGTAATTTGATTATCAGATTAACAATGCCTTAACATACCAGCTTCCTACAAAAGCCAACTGTCCTCTAGACTCCGTTTGTTACCCTAAAACTCTGTATACCTTGACAGTTTGCTGAGCTGCCAAATATGATGCAATGCAGTGGTCACCACGGAAAGCAGAGTATAGATCACTGAAGGACTGCATTCAGCAGAACACATCAAGTTGCCAAAGAAAACAAGACGGTCACAAGATTTGTAGAAGAGACTTGTACAAATATTGCTCTCAACTCATTATACCTTTCATAAACATTCTACACAAGCTCAAACAGAGAGAAAGCTATTGAGCTGAAGCTATTAAACACAGAAAAAGAAGGGGCTGTCAAGTGTAGGCATCAATCTTAATAAAGGTGCTGCAATATACACGCTGGGATCAGAGATGAAAAACACAAAAACTGCTTCTGTGCCAAAGACTTTTGTTATAGCGTATTAAATATTCCAGACACTATTGATTTGTTTAAGCTGAGGCACTAACTAGTAACATCCACAGTAGTGAGAAATCAGCACTAATAGCACCGAGGCTGGCCAGGAATCTGAAAGCAGCTAACTCTGCATCAGCAACTTGTTTTGTGTTCCTAAACAAAAGCAAGGAATTAATTGACACAAACAAGAACCATCAAGCTGATGACAGAGATGTGTCTCTCAGGCTGGCTACATCAATGCTCAGGAATGACAGCTCCTACCAATAGTTAGGAGTCAAGGGACATAGGGTAAGCATTGCTTGTCATATCACTTCATGGCGAATCTACTTCACAAAACGCAACTGATCTTTTCAATGAAAGAAAAAACGTTGTCCACTGCACCCAATAGATTTCACCCATAAATCCTGTACACTATCAGCTCGTCTTTAGAAAAGGGCCCAAATAAAGCAGACCACCTACTTCTGCTGCAGCTCCCAGACCAATTGCAAAACAAAGCCATAAAAGAGCAAAACTTTGAGAGAAAAATGACAAAAATATGGACATCCCAACATGCTCAGCTAGGTGACATGTCTGGGAATTATCAGATTTCCCTGTGCCCAACCTAGGAGAATGTGTTGGGATCCTTGGGGGTGTTTTATTTATGTATTTTAGTTACATATTTTCCCATTTTGTATTGCTGCATTTTCCCCACATTGTTTCTATATTCACGCTACAACATAGGCAGATCCTGCATACTGTCATACCTGCAAGCAAGATAGTACATTAGTATATCATTGGCCTGGAGCACAGGCAGCCTCAGACTAGCCAAACACTGATTATAGTTCTCCTATAGGAATGTTATAACATTAGAACTACACTCCACGCAACAAGCAGTCTAAAGTGCACCAGTCATGTGCAAAGGTCACTTTACAACTGAAACCTGAATTGGCTGGTTATGAGCCCCTGTAAATGGCACACTGCTGACACTCAGGAACCCTGATCCCAGTCCAGGTGTGGGGGTGTCTGCTATGGGCCCCTGCTCCTGGCACACTGCTGACACTCAGGAACCCTGATCCCAGTCCAGGTGTGGGGGTGTCTGCTATGGGCCCCTGCTCCTGGCACACTGCTGACACTGAAGAACCCTGATCCCAGTCCAGCTGTGAGGGTGTCTGCTATGGGACCCTGCTCCTGGCACACTGCTGACACTCAGGAACCCTGATCCCAGTCCAGGTGTGGGGGTGTCTGCTATGGGCCCCTGCTCCTGGCACACTGCTGACACTCAGGAACCCTGATCCCAGTCCAGCTGTGTGGGTGCCTGCTATGGGCCCCTGATCCAGGCACACTGCTGACACTCAGGGAACCTGAACCCAGTCCAGCTGTGAGGGTGTCTATGGGGCCCTGATCCAGGCACACTGCTGACTGTCCAGATAATGGATCTTGTAGAAGTCTAGCAGTGCCGGTAGATTGTCGAACTCCTGGTCTCCGATCTTGTAGCGGCGGCCGGGCAGGGAGTTGATGATGTAGTGGGACACCCGCGAGTTCTCGGACACGGAAAGCACGTGATCCCCGGGGCAGGTGGACGAGTCTCGCACCAGAAAGACCCCGTGCCGCTGGCCCTGCAGCCGCGACTGAGCCTCGTGCCGGGAGACCGGGCCGAAGTACCAGCTCGAGCGATCCGACGAGTCGAAGCGAGCGGACGACATGACTGTGCGGTCGGCCGCCTGAGACGATGGTAGATAACAGTGGTGAACGGGAGGGGGGTGTGTGTGTGGAGAAGCTCGTTACTGGCAGGCTGTTTCCCGGGCAGCTCTGGGTGTCATGGTCAGAGCGGAAGCTGCAGGTCCCGTCCGGCCCGCGCGGTGTGTGCGTGACCCAACTCGGGTCCCCTCCCTATTCTCTGCTCTACGAGACTGGGGAGACAATAAAGATGGCGGAGAGACTGCGGGCTTTCACATACAGCGAACCGGATACACGTCACAAACCCGCGGCAGCCAATAGGACACCTAAACACAGTAATCACGCCCCACTCCACCGCCTGATTAGGAGAGGGGCGTTTACTTAATATTTCATTGGCTGCCACTCACGTCACTTTTACTGGAGCAGGCGGGAGCTCGACTTTTCATAAGGCCGTACAAGCGGCACGCCGACAAGCTGACCAATAGGCTCCTACTTTCCCCTGACGTCAGCGAACATTCTGAATCCCGTGCTGGGGATTGGCTGCGCTGCCCCGCAGGGTGTTCGGAGCGCTCGGCTTGGGTTGCTTTTGACGTAACGCAGAGCAATTACATCACTTGTTAAATATAGTCAGCGTCAGCTTTTATAATTGGAGCCCTATATAAAGTGTTGGGGAGAAGTCGAGCTGCTGGTTACACGGCCTGTATAAGTTCCCCTCCTTCTCTGGTAGACCTCCAGGGTTTAATATTGGTCCCTGGAAAATGCCCGCAGGGATAGCTTTGAGATGTAATAAGTTTTATAAAACTTTATTTAAACCTCTTCGGGTCTCCACTGGGGCTTTTAAACATGTGTGTTAGTAAAGTAGACAATATAACCTTACAGGTGGATAGAAGGGACGAAATGAGCCAAGAAGCCCTCCAACCGAATCATTGAGGGGAAGTAATCACGTGTCTTATCACATAGCCCAAACATCAGAGGAATATTCCTCATTTTGGGACAGTGGGAGGAGCCATGCATATCATTGCTTACACCCCGTTGGTCAGAGGCATCCAGAACCTCTCGGGTATAGTACAAATATAGCTTAGTATTATGGAGCCATTTTTTCAAAACTGCATACAGCTGTTTCAGGCTTCTTGCTTGGGTACCCTGGGGACAAAAAAAAAAATGCTGGTTGGAAATTTCAAACTGCTGACATCTACTGAATACATTTAGGTGAATGGTCTCACGTTTCTTCTCGTCCCTACTCTTGGTTTTCCTAGTATTTCCCTGGACATTGTCAAAATGATCTGATGTTAGTTTCAACTAGTTAATACTTTTATTATAATATATGTTATAAATAATAATATATACTATTTATTAGGGATGCGCCGATATATCAGCCGAAAATGGCACTTTTGGCATAATGCTGAAAGTGCCATTTTTCTGCCCATACATTGGTGCATCCCTGCTTTCTTGCCTCTCCACTGGGCGCTGCTCTGTGTCCCAGCGGGGAGGAGAGAAAGTGTCACAGGCGGCCGAGCGCTGTGAGCAGCCGGCGTCTCCTCCCACACCGCTCAGCCTCCTATCACAGTCCGGCAGAGCGGTGTGTGGGCGTAGACAGGCCGCGCTGCCACAGAAGGCTGAGCTCTCCTCCCTACACCGCTTGATCAGCCTCCTGTGACAGTGAGTCAGAGAGGAGAGCAAGGTACAAACACTCAGCGATCAGTGTTCGCTGAGTGTTTGTAGATAATTGAGGAAATAGTATGGTTTACTATATCCTCAATTATATGAATGAATGGGAAATGATCTATATCACCTCCTGTTCATTTATAGTTGTAGTTATAGTAAACACACTCTGTCCTCATGTTATCAATGAACAGGAACACTCATTGAGGATTCCTGTTCATGTATATCTCTTTTTCTATTTTAAAAGGGAAATATCAGACCCCCAATATTTCCCCAAAGCCCCTAAAAGTAAAGTAAAAAATAAAATATTTAATAGAAAATGAATTAATAAATAAAAATAAATATAAAAACATTGAAAAGTTTATAAAAATAAAATAGAAAACATTTTCGGTATCGGTTTTGGCCTGACAAGTTTTTTATTTTGGTTTCGGTTTTAAAATTTCCATTTCGGTGCACCTCTACTATTTATATACTGTACACCGATCAGCCATAACACTATGACCACCCACCTAATATTGAGCAGGTTCCCCTTTTCCTGACCCATTGAGACATGGACTCCACTAGACCTCTGAAGGTATGCAGTGGTATCTGGCACCAAGCCGTCAGTAGCAGATCCTTTAAGTCTTGTAAGGTGCTCGGTGGGGCCTCCATGGATCGGACTTGTTTTTCCAGCACATCCCACAGATTATTGATTGGATTGATATTTGGAGACCAGGTCAATACCTTAAACACGTTGTTGTGTTCCTCAAACCATTCTTGAACCATTTTTGCAGTGTAGCAAGGCGCATTATCCTGCTGAAAGAGGCCACTGCCATCAGGGAATTCCATTTCCATGAAGGGGTGTACTTGTTCAGAAACAATGTTTAGGTAGGTGGTACATATAAAAGTAACATCCCCATGAATGGCAGGACCCAAGGTATCCCAGCACAACATTGCCCAAAGCATCACACTGCCTCTACCGGCTTGCCTTCTCATAGTGCATCCTGGTGCCATCTCTGCCCCAGGTAAGCCACACACACGCCCCCGGCCATCCACCTAATAAAAAATAAAATGTGATTCATCAGACCAGGCCACCTTCTTTCATAACTCCATGGCCCAGTTCTGACCATATGCTCACATGCCCATTGTAGGTGACGTTGGTGGTGGACACAGGTCAGCATGGGCACCCTGCCCAGTCTGTAGTTATGGCTGATTGGTGTTTATTTCTTATCAGGTCCTCTTTCCTTCTGATTGACAGCCCTTGCAGAGCCACCAGCCCTTGGCAGAAGGAGTACTGGCAATGCCCTGTGACCCATAGCCCTTGTGTTTGTGCTCAGCCATAGTGCTGTCACCACAAGCTGAGTGGTGCGGCGGTGCAGCTGTCACACTGTCCAAGGTGTCCATTGAGTGTCTCCGGTGCCAAGGAAAGAATGAGATGCACAGTACATACCTGACTGCGCTGAAGCCCTGGAAAAGGAAACCAAGAGGGCATCAAGCATGCAAGAATGTCCCAGCAGTGCTTGGTCATCCGTAGGAAGGGAGACAGGCAGCAGCACTATGAGTACTCTGCAAACATTGCCTACATATGCCCCTGTGTGTCCTGGCAGTGAGCTTTGTAGTTATTGTGCAGAAAAAAGCAGGTCACTACACACATTGTAAACAAATCCTTACACTACTAAACATGTAGACACTGCAGACTCTACAACGTGACCTCCATTTTATGGGAGACCTACTGCCCACAACTCCAGGGAGCCCCAGGGGGAGATTCAGGGAAGACCATGGGACAAATAAAAAGCCCAAACCCACCCTTCAACTGGCCCACCATAACAGTGGAGAGAGGGAGGGGACTTCCACAGACCTAGACTTGTGTAGCATCCTGTGACTGACTCAGTGTGTTGCACAACTTGCCAAGGTTTCTGATGTAGGGTCCAGAGCCTGAAGCAACATTACAGGCCAACCCTACGTCTTCTTCCAGCAGAGTCCCAGTATGGTCTACGAGGCTTTGCCAAAGGGCACCGATCTGGAAAATGCAAGAACTGCAGTAGCTATGGGACAGCCAGTCTTGAGGAAATTGAGCAGAAAACTTCCCTCAGTAGAGAGAAAGGCACCCATCACCTAAGACAATAGCAAAAAACTGAGGTTCCCTGGGAGTGGGAGGAGTTATGAGATACAAGAGTCCTTACAGTGTTCAATCATCTGAGGCAGGGGTAGCAAACCTCCGGCCCTCCAGCTGTGGTGGAACTACAAATCCCATGAGGCATTGGAAGATTCTCACAGCCACAGACACGATTACCGAAGAGAGATGCATCATGGGATTTGTAGTTCCACCACAGCTGGAGGGCCGGAGGTTTGCTACCCCGTAATCTGAGGTGTAGCTGCACATAACCCAGTTGTCTATGATCATGCCTGGGTCCTATACAATAAATCATTTAAAAAAAAAATATTGTAGGTATGAATGGAAATACATCACAAGCATATGGCAGATGAGTGGCAAATTTGACTGCGTAAGTGGAAATACACTTTAATTGGCCAGCCATTCTGAAAATTCAAGAGTAGAGTTGTTAAACACTTACCGAATTCCAGCTTGTATGCGATTGTATTCTTATGCACTAAATGTGAAAGAATACAAAGCTTATTGTAGATATTAACAAAAGTGTTCTCTTTATGTAGTCAAGGAGATTGTCTTAAAATGTTACTTATTAAATCAATTAAAAACCCGGAAAACAGGTTCCGTTATTGGCAGATGAGGCAAGTTTACGACTTAAGAAGCAAACTGAAGACTATTTTGCACCTTAGAAGACACAACATGCAAAGAAAAGACACTTTTATTCCCACCCAAGAAATAAAACACAAACTGCAATCTTTTGCATTTATTTTTTTGATAACCATTGTGAAAGATCTCAGTGCTCTGAAGGTCACTGTGCAAAGTGCTAGAATTGTTCTGCTGAGTTGTCTAGCAAAGTATTATGAAGTTGAAACAAATAAAACCATTACAAGCAAATGCGCAGAGGTGAATGGCACTATACTTCAGAAGTAAAAAAGAAAAAAAACATGTTTTATCTTGTTTGATTTCCTGGACAGCAAAACAGAACCGTTTGCACAAAGGATTCCCAAAATGAATGTCATGACTAGGATCAGGTGACAAATGGGTAAAAATCTGTTAAAAGGCAAATGTGAAGATTGCACTTGTCTCGAACCCAATGACAGGATGCATGAATAACATGCTTACAAATCAGTCTTATCAGGTAATGTCAGTCTTCACCAGAATTATCCAAGTCCTCCCAGTCTGACACACTCATGACTTCAGATGCATTGTCAGCAGGATGTTGCACTCTGTCCATATAATGCATGTACATCTCATGTGTCCACACATCAGCATCAATGAGCACAGATCTGGGGAGTGTGAGAACACAGGCTGCCATGCCTGAAATGTCATCCTCCAGCTGAGGTCCATCCTCCCACAAGTCCCTTTCTGC